GGCGGGGGGGGGGAGAAAAGCTCTTCAAGAGCCTCCCGACCTGTTTTATTTGCGAGCACAAGGACATGTCATTTTTCTCTCCAGTGAGATGAGCCTTGCCTCCCCCCTGCCCCGTGCCCAAAGAGCACTGACTGTCCTTCAGCGGCCCTTCCTGGAGGAGCTCGGCTTGGAGTCCGAGGGAGAAAACGTCTGCTCCTTGCTAAGGACTGAGGACTGGCTCCTCAGGTCTAAGGAGCAAGGACTTGGACCTTGGTAAGGACTAATTTCCTCACAAAGAAGAAAAGAGCCTCACTTAGGAACCTAAGCCCAAGTCTCTGAAAGAGGGTGCCAGGGCCAGGCCTGGCGTCCATGTCCTGGGCAAATTTAAAGACCCGATAATTGAGAAAATGCCCAGAAATCCTCCGTGGCGCACACCAGAGTCCTCTGAGTCCTCCGCGACGAGACAAAGGCCGTAATGACGCGCTTAGTGCCTCTCCCCAAACCGGCGGCAGAGCCCACAGCCTGCCACCGAGTCCGAGAAAAAGTCCCCAAATCACCGAAAAGCGCAGAAAAGTCCCAATTTCCCGGTGGGGAAGGAAAGACTGCGAGGAGTTGAACGACTTACCCAGGACGGTCAACATGGTCCCCGCGCCGAAAGCACCACACAGTGATTCGAGGCTATACAAAAACCTCCAGTCCAATTGCAGGAGCAGTGCTGAAATCCTATGTTTCTTAGGACACAGTGGGACGGAGGTGCCTTGATGGACGTGGTGGGATGGACATGTCACGATGGAGGAACCCCAGTGGGCGTAGTGGGAGGGAAGTGCTCCAACAGATACAGCAGGATAGATGCAGCAGGACAGAGGTGCTCCAAGGGATGCGGTGAGATGGAGATGCCCAATGCATGCATTGCGATGGATGCAACATGCAGAGTGCCCAGGAACACCAGTGGTGGCATCAGCACTGCTGGAGGGGGCTTGGCTCCTGCGCAGTGTCTGGCGGGCAATGGCTAATGCAGGAGCCTGCTGTGAAACTCATGCCTGCAGGCACATGGGCACTGAGCTGTGTCTGTGCTCAGCTGCTCAGTCACAGTGGGGCCAGGGTGCTGGAGCATCCCACTGAGGCTGAATGAGCACTTCCCTTTTGGCACCCGGCGTTTCGGCAGCGTCAGAGCAGGAGCTCGGCACTGGGGCTGGGGCGAGCGAAAGGCCCCGTTGGCCGGTGCTGGTCCCGTGCCCTGTGGGGAGCAGCCCCGGGGACACCCGCTGAGGGGGGATCGTGCCACCGCAGCAGGCGGTAGCTGGAGGCCATATTCACAGGAGGATTTTATTTCTGCTCTAACAGAAACCAGCAGCATTCGCAGCTAATAGGGTGTCCTGCATGCTGGAGATGAGGCTCCTGCTGCCAGCTCCTTGCCTCGGGGCAACATGTGCCCTGGCCCGAGCCCTACCCGCACTGATGCTGCTGTCCTGACCTGCAGGCGAGAGCGGCACCAGGGTTAAGGAGAGAGATGGACTTTGAGGGACGTGGGTGTGTGTGTGGGGGGGTGTCTTTAAAAGGTGGTCATGGCTGTACCAGTGATGTTTTGGAGTTGTTCAGTGCTGGTTTTGTCAAAAAAGCTTATGGTTTAAGCTTCTTACTGTCTGTGTTTTTTTTTTAAACATTCACCAAGTATCATTTTTAAACATTCACCTTGTAATCAAAAAAGGCTTTCTTACAATTAAGAGGTCCTAACACTAAATAGGAAGTACCACTTATATGGGCTGTAGGATTCCCAGCAGCTGGTATTGCATATCTCAGCCATGTGCCACGCTCATGTCTCGCTTTGGCCTCAATGCACAGCTCCTGCCCTGCCTCCGAGCCCAGCCGAGGAGGGGCCTCACCACACTGCTCACAGCTGGCCTCATGTTCAGTCTCTGTGCTCCCACTAATTTCCCAAAATCCCAAGGCCAAGAAATACAGCTGGCTTCGAAAGGCCACACGCCCCTATCAGCACACTAAAGAGACCAGTGGTTTTTGTGAGCGTGGCCGCGTCACGTCTCAGCATTTCTGCCTTTGCTTCCACGCGGGTGGCAGCGATCCCAGCCAACAGGTTCTGTGTTCACCAAGGACAGCACAGCTCAGAGCTGGGTTGGTGGCAGTGGGTCACCTCTGCTCTCAGCCCAAAGCTACCGCGGCTACCGCGCTGCCTGGGCGTGCTCCAGGCACGCGACCCTGCGGCACCATGCTCCTCTCCTCTAGTTTCAGGCACTGGCCAGCATACCTCACATCAGTCCAGTCATGAGATATTTTTGACTACATCACCTAACACCCTCAAGCAGATTTGATTTGCACACCATGGAGCATTCAAGTCAGGGAATTAATGGATTATAAATTATCCAACCTGCTTATAGTATGTTAGCGTATTGTTTCAGTGACAAATAACTCCACAACTTGAGTCAATGTGGGGGAAGTGATACTGGCTCTGCTTTTTCTCTCTCCCCTGGTGTGGATGAAGCAATCACTTACTTAAACACAGCACTTATTTTGCGATTTCACATACTTCAGCTGAAACCTCTCCATTTCCTGTCTATACCAGAGAACCGCCCTCTGGCTGTTCTTCCTCTATGAGCAAATCTATTTTTTGACTTTCTGCCTGCCTTTACTTACATTTCATGCAGAGCAAACAAACTGAACTCACATGCATCTAACTCCGACAAGATCTGTATATTTTTCTGCAATTTTTAAGATGCTGTCCTGGCACTCAGATATTGCCTAAAACCATCTTCACTTGCTCCCCATAAGAGAAACACCTTTCCCTTTCTAACCTGTTTTGCTGAATTCTTTCCCTTACTTTGAATTCCTACTTCTCAATAATATCCTCTAACCCTTCAAAAGTAGTTCTCAGTTATGATGCTATTTTGGAGACTAAAAAATTGATCATCATTTTGAACACTACTGAAATACAAAGAGGCAATTTTTCCTTCACTAGCAAGACCAACCAGTCTGCACAAACTTGAAACCTTCCATTTCAACCACCTATACTTCCTCATCATATAATAGTATGTAGGTGGGAGCTTTTCCTTAGGAGAAAAAAAGGTTAAGAAGTTCCCAGTTTATAAACTCTAATATAACCTGGCTGTCTGTCAAATAAATATGTCTTTTTACTAAGTAATTCCTGCAAACAAGTTGAACAAGACCCAAATAATACAACCAAGAATTTGATTAGGAGGAAATCTGCAGATTTGAAAAGGCGAAAAAGGGTTTGTGAGCAGTAAAGACCAGTTGGCATGTAAAATCTTGTTTTCCCCCAATGAGAGAAATGCACCTGGATACATGTCAGCGTGGTTAGACCAAGGTCATTTGACTATCACCATATGGAGAAGTTGGAGAGAGAAAAATAGGAAAAATTTGGACACCCACCAACCACTGGGGAACTACTGTAGGTGAACCTCAGCGTGACTTACCAAAGACGGTCAGCTGGGTTCCACTGCCAAAGATATATATACAGTGACATATATATACAGTGCAAAAATAGCCCAGGCAGCTGCTTACGCCCAGCCTGCAGCCCTGGCGCGCAACAAGCATGGTGGGGCAGCACTCGCAGCGGTGGTTGGGCTCCTGGCTGCTCAAGCGATTTGAGTGGCACTGTTTGCTGGAGGATAACAGAGCAGGGACAGTATTTATGGATTCTCCCCCTCCCCCCAGTTCTCCCAAGGGATATCCAGATGTGCCTCCATTGGCCAAGGTCACATGTCAATCCCCAAAAAACAGGCTTGCTTGTTTTCAAGTTTCAGTGAAGGTATCCCCCCCCACCATTCAGGTCAATTTGCCTTTGAAGGCCTTATGATCTTTCCATCTTTCTTCCCTCCTGGATCTCTTCCCATTCCTGTAGGGAGTGGTGGCAGCTCACTGGGCCCAGCTTCACCTGGTTCAAGCAGGTCTTCCCTCTTCCCAACTGCCTGTGCAGGCATGGAGTAACTAGACCACCACAGGACTGTGGCACCTGCTGCACTTCTTCACGGGATGGGAAGTGCAGAGAGCCCAGAGGATACTCCAAGCACGGAGCCAAGCAGCCAGTGTGGCCTAGGTCTTCCAAGTGGGAGGTTACTGGGGAAGCTGGTGAGCACAGCTTCAGCTGTGGATGGGAAGGGGTGTGAGGGGCTAAAAGCTCAGGGTTAGCTGGCAAAGCCAAGCAGGATGTCCAAGTGTGTGCCAACCAGGAATATAGCTGTGACTCCCATGGTGAGCCCAGCAGGGAGCCTGCAATGAGCTTGCCAGGAGACCCCACTGCGTCCCGGGGGGCACCCTTGCTTCCTGGTCCTGTTCTGGCCTGGGAGCTCTTCTGTCTTTGGGAGCTGAGCTGGGCAGAGAGGTGACAGAGGACCTGGCTCCAGAACAGCCTCCTCCTGCTTCAAGAAGGGGGCAGATGGAGCATTTAACCCATCTCATTCAGTTCTGTCAAGGTCATGGCCTACTTCCCAAGGTTTTCCCCTGGCACACCAGGATGAGGGATTGTGCTGCTTGACTAGCTGATGCAGCTCTTGAGCAGCAGAGGAGGAGCAGCAGTGACTGTAGGGCATTGCTGAAGTATTTTCCTTGTACAGGCCCGAGAGACAGGGGCACCACAGAGACCTGTGGGTTTGCCATGAATGCCTTGCCAACTTGTCCAATATGGACCCAGGAGCTCACCATCCCCCACAGCCATGCAGAGCACCCCTCTGCCCACCCCCACCCTGGATCCCCCAGGCCATTGCTCCTCTAGGTCAATCCATCCCAGCCTAATGCCAGGCCCTTCCTCTTTGAGCTCCCCAGGGCATTACAACGGCATAGCTTGCTTACCGGCACTGCCTGACCGTCAGCTCTGGTCTTACCACCTGCTGAGGAAGCAGCACATCCCTCTTAGTCCCTGCCTTTCTGGCCCATTCAAGCAGCAGGGACTGCTCAGGTGAAGGCTCCCAGCAACTGGGAGCATCTGTCAAGGGCCTGGGTGGGCAAGGTGGGGGTTGGACAGCAGGCATCAGAGGCTCTTAACAGGGGAAAAGCTGACACTAGCAGAATAGACTATCCTAGGGATGCAGATGCCTAAATACAGCTGCAATAGCCAAGGCAGAGGTGAACCAGAATGGGTCTCAGCTGAGATGTTAATGAGATGGATTAACTCCAAATTCCCAAGGGAAGGCTTGGCTGCTGGTTTGTAAAGTGCTTTTCAAGTGTGACGCTAGTCTTACAGGACACAAAGTGCCTGGCTTGGAGAAAAAGAGCTCTTACTGAATTTAAATAGCACCTACTTAAAATGAACTTGAAAATATTTAGACACTGGTTTGTGCAACTGGTTATAGAAAATCATAGAGTCAGTTGGGCCTTGCAAAATAACTAGAGATCGGCTGCAAGGGACAGAGGCCTGTCCTCCATGGGTTATGTGTGCATCAGGAAATGCAGGTTACTCACACCAAAAGCGTTTGCAGGAAATGGAGAACATCAGTGAATCTTTTAATGACAAATGATGCTTAGATGATTTTCTGGTTCAAGGAATTTTCTGTTTCAGATGTTTGCTTTGCCTCTGGAAAGGCTTAGGCATTGCTGCAAAGGGTGAAAGTAGGAGAAAACTCATGAAGATTGTTTATATAAAAAACTTAGCTGAACCTGATGCTCTCTTTTCTGGATGACCTGCTTCTGAGCATTTCTGAGACTGATGGGGTTTGGGTTACACTTTAGAGGAGGGCAAAAAAGGATGACAATGTTTGGCTCAGAGGTCTAGCTCTTCTCATTGGAGCAAGGCATGGAAGAAAACGTGCACACTATTCTACTTACCAGGCAAGATGTGTTGGCAGACGAGCCTTTGGCACAGATTTGGCCCTTAGCCTCTGTGGGCCTGAGGCTGCCCTTTGCTGGGAATACGGATGGGTGAGGGTGGGCTGGCCCTAGGCGCACAGGGACAGCCCTGTGACAGGGAGGCTATGCACAGTTACTGGTGTCCTGATGCCCAGGTCTGAGGCTGGGTCCAAGGTCAGGGCTGAACAGCTCAGGCTACATGAAGCTCTCTCCACTGCTGCTGCTTAGCTCACCTGGATGTGCCTAGTAACAAATTAAAAGGGAAATGGTAGGATGGGCCTCTGCATCCTTGCAGTATAAACTGTCCTGCAGCCACCACTGCACAGCTTGTGCAACCATCTGCCCCCAGAAACCATGTCTGTTCAATCAGCTAAAACCAGCACTGCCTGCAGAGGACAACAGGGCTGCCCTCACTGCGCGTACCCCAGGGACGCAGCTCGGGCTGCCTTCTCACCAACAAACCTTTGCCATGAGCAGTGCAGGGTAGTGCAGGGAGGGCTTTGGTGGGGACCTGTGTGACCATCAAATGGGAAGAGCAGACACTGTTCAATGGTCCCTGCAGTGGCAGGAGGTTTGTGTCACACCTCCCCATTGCTCAGCATAACTGAGCGAGCATCACTGATGCTGCTATCATAGTGAGCACAGCAATAAACAGCCTTGTCCTCAGCTTGGACCCCAGGGATGCATAACGGGGCCATGGAGCCAGACAATGAAACAGAGAATCGCACAAGGATGCTCGAGGATCTATGATTGTTGTTGTAAATATATCACAGTGACAGGGGCGCTACCAGGTTTCTGCTGGTACCAGCCATGGCAACTGTCACCATAGTAGCTGATGTTACCTCTAGAGCAGGTGATCTGGGCGGTTTGTCCTCAGGACAGGGACACCGAGGCCGGCTGAGTCACCGCTGCCTAGACCAGGGAACCTGCAGAGGGAGAGGAGAGAAGTGAGAAAAACAGGGCCCCGGGGGTGCGAGGGGGTCAGTAACTGCAGGTCGCTTAGGGCTCAGCAAGGCCTGGCAAACCTGCACAAGCTGACCATGCACACCAACATGAGCTATGATGCTGCAGATCCAGCCAAAAGGGGAAGTTCAACCTGGAGGAGCAGAAATATGCAGCAGCCATAAAACTCCCAGCCAGGCAGAGCCTGCCGAAGGTCACCGCACCTCAGCAGCACCTCTGTGGGAA